CGTAGGGTTGTCCTGTATTTAGAATAGGATATGCTCCATCGAAGCATTGAGCGACGTAAAAGCTTGCCACTCTCTCAGAGGTGCTAGACCAAGGTGGTCCTCGACAGAGACTCTCTCTGTCCTTTTCCTCTTGTTCTCTACTTCCCGTTTGTCCTCATAGGTGCCCTTCCTTTTCCCACTCCCACGAGAGGATTCACATCGTCTAGCCTTGGTGATGTCCTTGGCATTCATATATTTTTGTACCCTTGACAATAGCTTGGGCATGCTAGAGGGAGGTTTATTCAGGATNCCCACTCCCACGAGAGGATTCACATCGTCTAGCCTTGGTGATGTCCTTGGCATTCATGTATTTTTGTACCCTTGACAATAGCTTGGGCATGCTAGAGGGAGGTTTATTCAGGATAGAGAACATAAAACTCGAGGAGCATAGACTTGCTATAAAGGTAGGCATGGTCACCTTGTCATCTGCTCCTTGTTCTGGAGTGCCTCCTCGTTGAAATGAGTGAGGTAACTCCTTAGAATTTCATCCTGATCCTGTTTGAAGGTGAGCAAGTGGGTAACTGACTTCTGGTGTCGGCTTTTCTCACTGAAGTGGGAGTCAAAGAATTTGCTTAACTCGATGAAGGAGTGAATAGAAGAAGGTTTAAGCTTGGTGAACCACTATCCTAGAAATCTCTTAAGGGTGGTGGGGAAGGATCTGCACATGATCTCATTGGGCACATTGTGGAGCTGCATGAGAGACTTGTATGTGTTAAGATGGTCGAGGGGATCCTTAGTACCATCAAAGATCTCCACCGTAGGCATTTTGAATTTTGAGGGTAGAGGGCAATTGACAACATCTGCCACAAATGGAGTGTCAGTATCCTTACCAAGGAATCCATCGTCTCTAGCACTTGTGCTTTGATGGTATCGCCAAGCTGGTTCCACACCTCCTTAATCTTTTCATCCCATTGGTTAGGACACCCTCTGTTGGTTCATGATAATAGATCTCATGATCTACATACTAGTTCTCCCCCTCATCCTCTTGCCCAGGATGATCAGCTACGTGTGGAAGAGGAGCAAGTACATGAGGAGAAGAAGCATGTGAGGTGCTTGGGTGCTGAGGGGGGGGGACTCCTTGGCATGCGGTGCCCGGGTGTTGCCTGGGGGCACCCTGGCATTAGGGGGTGCCTTGGCGCCCAGAATGGAGCGGTCATGGGACTCTTCCTATTGGAAGGAGTGCGACTCCTCCTACTTGTTGGGGGAAACGCCTCCTGAGGTGAGCATCAGTTGGAGAATTTNATAGAGAACATAAAACTCGAGGAGCATAGACTTGCTATAAAGGTAGGCATGGTCACCTTGTCATCTGCTCCTTGTTCTGGAGTGCCTCCTCGTTGAAATGAGTGAGGTAACTCCTTAGAATTTCATCCTGATCCTGTTTGAAGGTGAGCAAGTGGGTAACTGACTTCTGGTGTCGGCTTTTCTCACTGAAGTGGGAGTCGAAGAATTTGCTTAACTCGATGAAGGAGTGAATAGAAGAAGGTTTAAGCTTGGTGAACCACTATCCTAGAAATCTCTTAAGGGTGGTGGGGAAGGATCTGCACATGATCTCATTGGGCACATTGTGGAGCTGCATGAGAGACTTGTATGTGTTAAGATGGTCGAGGGGATCCTTAGTACCATCAAAGATCTCCACCGTAGGCATTTTGAATTTTGAGGGTAGAGGGCAATTGACAACATCTGCCACAAATGGAGTGTCAGTATCCTTACCAAGGAATCCATCGTCTCTAGCACTTGTGCTTTGATGGTATCGCCAAGCTGGTTCCACACCTCCTTAATCTTTTCATCCCATTGGTTAGGACACCCTCTGTTGGTTCATGATAATAGATCTCATGATCTACATACTAGTTCTCCCCCTCATCCTCTTGCCCAGGATGATCAGCTACGTGTGGAAGAGGAGCAAGTACATGAGGAGAAGAAGCATGTGAGGTGCTTGGGTGCTGAGGGGGGGGACTCCTTGGCATGCGGTGCCCGGGTGTTGCCTGGGGGCACCCTGGCATTGGGGGGTGCCTTGGCGCCCAGAATGGAGCGGTCATGGGACTCTTCCTATTGGAAGGAGTGCGGCTCCTCCTACTTGTTGGGGGAAACGCCTCCTGAGGTGAGCATCAGTTGGAGAATTTGCTGGTTTTGACTCACCAGCAACTACATTGTCTCTAGAAGTTGTTGCCCGACCACAGGATTTGTCGTAGCGACCACTGGATTTTTCGTAGTGGATGGTTCCACTGGTGGAGGTGGAGGCGAAGCCCCCTCCCGACGACCTGGGTCATTGTCTTTGGGTTTTTGATTCATCGATCTAGTTGTGATTGCCATAGATTTGAAAGAAAGTAGAAAGGAAGGTACTAGAAAACTCAGTCGTTTCCCACAGACGGCGCCAAACTGATGAGGAACAAATTAGGCTATGCACAATCAAATAGTTAAGTACATGATGCAGAGCAATTAATAAAGCAATAAATAATAGAAAAGCAAAGATTAAGTGGTTGGGTCGAGGTGATTAAACCACTGAAGATGACAATGATGGTCGGAAAACTTTATTAATAAAATAGAAGGTGAGAAAGAGAGAGAGAGAGAGNCGAAGAATTTGCTTAACTCGATGAAGGAGTGAATAGAAGAAGGTTTAAGCTTGGTGAACCACTATCCTAGAAATCTCTTATGGGTGGTGGGGAAGGATCTGCACATGATCTCATTGGGCACATTGTGGAGCTGCATGAGAGACTTGTACGTGTTAAGATGGTCGAGGGGATCCTTAGTACCATCAAAGATCTCCACCGTAGGCATTTTGAATTTTGAGGGTAGAGGGCAATTGACAACATCTGCCACAAATGGAGTGTCAGTATCCTTACCAAGGAATCCATCGTCTCTAGCACTTGTGCTTTGATGGTATCGCCAAGCTGGTTCCACACCTCCTTAATCTTTTCATCCCATTGGTTAGGACACCCTCTGTTGGTTCATGATAATAGATCTCATGATCTACATACTAGTTCTCCCCCTCATCCTCTTGCCCAGGATGATCAGCTACGTGTGGAAGAGGAGCAAGTACATGAGGAGAAGAAGCATGTGAGGTGCTTGGGTGCTGAGGGGGGGGACTCCTTGGCATGCGGTGCCCGGGTGTTGCCTGGGGGCACCCTGGCATTGGGGGGTGCCTTGGCGCCCAGAATGGAGCGGTCATGGGACTCTTCCTATTGGAAGGAGTGCGGCTCCTCCTACTTGTTGGGGGAAACGCCTCCTGAGGTGAGCATCAGTTGGAGAATTTGCTGGTTTTGACTCACCAGCAACTACATTGTCTCTAGAAGTTGTTGCCCGACCACAGGATTTGTCGTAGCGACCACTGGATTTTTCGTAGTGGATGGTTCCACTGGTGGAGGTGGAGGCGAAGCCCCCTCCCGACGACCTGGGTCATTGTCTTTGGGTTTTTGATTCATCGATCTAGTTGTGATTGCCATAGATTTGAAAGAAAGTAGAAAGGAAGGTACTAGAAAACTCAGTCGTTTCCCACAGACGGCGCCAAACTGATGAGGAACAAATTAGGCTATGCACAATCAAATAGTTAAGTACATGATGCAGAGCAATTAATAAAGCAATAAATAATAGAAAAGCAAAGATTAAGTGGTTGGGTCGAGGTGATTAAACCACTGAAGATGACAATGATGGTCGGAAAACTTTATTAATAAAATAGAAGGTGAGAAAGAGAGAGAGAGAGAGAGAGAGAGAGAGAGAGAGAGAGCAAAGGTAAGCTCTAGTTGAGATTGCTATATGAGAGAGATAGCTATGTAAAAGATGTTGAGATGTGTCCCTCATGTGTACAGGACTTACGATTTGTAGGCACAGAGCCTTAGTTGAGATAGTGGCGTGGAGAGCAGGTTATTCGCTTCTTAGGGAGGATAACTACAACTACGTATAGGTACAAATAGAGATAGTCTTGATCTTTGAGAGTGATTATCCTAATGATTGCTCCCCATGTGTGTTGACTTCTTGGGTCCCTTGAATCTTGAACTGGGCTAAAGCCATGAGTTGGGCTTGACCTGCCTTTTAGTTGATTTGTTCCTACCCATGAATTGGGCTTGGACCTAGCTGATTCTGGGCTCATCACTATTTCCACAATTGAAGAGATGAAGACTTGTGCTTGAATCCCTAATGTACACCAAAGCGCATGTGGTCAATCTATAATAATAACTCAGTGGTCTGAGGTTAATCTTCGGGGAACTAATAATTTAGAGAGACTAAAGGAAGAACAAATTTCTTAAATAGTTGGAGTGTATAGAAAACAATTAACAAAGTAAAATTTTAGTAAGCAATAATTGAAAACGAATCTTTAATTTTGGGATCTGGATTTGCTTATATTCGTCAGACACTATTTATACTATAGTAAATTATTTTCAACAACAATGTAATTAATCAAAATTTTTTTCTTTCAATGAACAATTGATTTGATGATTGAAAATATGAGTTGAAGATCTATTTTAAATACTTGCAAAGGGATTCATAAGCATTGTCTATACCAAGAATCTATTTTTTTTTCATGTAAATTTAGATCAAATTCCAGAAATTGTAATACATTCGAGCATTATGCATAGTCTAACAAAAACAAAATGTCACGGCAAGCCAATAACATGATCAAATTTCAAGGAAAAAAAGTACTCTGCAGTAAATCTAAATGTAACAAAGAAAAAGAAGAGGCGCTCTAAANTCATGTAAATTTAGATCAAATTCCAGAAATTATAATACATTCAAGCATTATGCATAGTCTAACAGAAACAAAATGTCACGGCAAGCCAATAACATGATCAAATTTCAAGGAATAAAAGTACTCTGCAGTAAATCTAAATGTAACAAAGAAAAAGAAGAGGCGCTCTAAAAATCAATATCCTGAGAAGCACGAATGGTAATTAAAAAGCTCCTAGGTCATCCTCTAAGCAACTTTCTTCGCAAGAAGCCTTTCTTTGGCCTTGGTTTTGGCTTCGGATTTAAACACATGATCCCACCACCCCACTTCCTATACTTATCATATTATCATTGAAGTTGGCCTTTATGGCTTCTATGATTTTTCTAAACTCTAGTTTATCTTCATTCTTGACTGTGGTGAAGATTTCCCTTTCACAATGCAGTATGGGATTTCCATCTTTCTGCACAATGAAGGAAGCCAAACAACCAACTCTATTGGGGTCCACATCGTGAGCAATAACTAGCAATTGTGCTTTGTTCTGCTCAATAAGGTAGGTGACGTGGTCGAGATCATATTTTGTAGGGTTTTTGGCCTCAGGAGTCTTTCCCTCTGCCAAATCATGAGCTCTTTTCAAGAGGCACTCTTTTTTGGCCACTTTATCCTTAGGCTTGTATTTGAGAAGCATCTTGAACAAACTAGTTGCGAGGTTCTTGTTGATGGTCTTGGTGAACTAGTTCAAGGTAGGTGGGACCTTTAAGCGCTGGCTGAGGATCCTTATCTTTCTCTAAATGTGAACAACATTGGGCCATTTCTTCGATGGCAATGCCTATCATATTCCAAACTACTTCAGATGCTTCTCAAACAATGGATTCACTACCTAGTCCAGTTTCTTCTTAGCTTCTGTAGCAAGAAGCCTTACACTTTTCTTTGGAGCAATTTTTGGATGTGCTTGGCTTTGTGTTTAGGTTTGTGAATAGCGGAGCAAAAACCTTAATACAAGTTTGTTGATCCCCAAATTTGCACCAATGGAATGTCTGATGACCTGACAATCGCCGGTCGGCTCTTGCAACAAAGTCGAAGACCGGAGGGACTTTGATGGTCAACCTTTTGATGATTAAGTTAGTAAAGGTAAAAAGGATTAGCTAGAATTGGGCTGGAAGTAATTACTTACTTGGCTTGTAGCTAGCTCCTTTCCTTTATAGGTTGAGCTCTTGTTACCATTGTAGCTCTTTAGCTACTTTTTGAATGAGGTGGGAAGGAAAGTGGAACCTTTATCCTAGAATGTTTGGAACTGGTTTGTGGGATATAGGCGAACAAGCTGATATACAGTTTGGATCTTGGTTCATGCCAGATTGCATGCTTTAACTCACGTGCTTGCCTTGTAGCTATCCCCATCACATGCTCAGCCACTCACGTGCTTTCACGTGCCCGGCTACTCATGTAGTTGCCTTAGGGCTAATTCTATCGCCATCAGTTGTCCCCTAGCTCAGATCAGTGGAAGGCATAATTTGTGCATTAATTACTCTTGACTATTAAATAGGAGTAAAATCATTTTCTTCGTGCACGCAACTACCAAAGAGCCTTTGTGGGCCCAATGTACATAAGAGCTCTTCTTTTTCTCTGGCTATCTTTGAGAGCTTCTGGAATTCTGGTATGCCCTTGTCTCTTTTCCCTAATTCTCTTTTGCTTTCTTAATTCACCATGATTATTCGATCTAGAGCGCATAGGTTGGAGCCATATAATCCAATTTAACTTTTACCATTTTTGCTTTTTGAGTGAGAAGAACTCTAGCCTTGAATCTCTAGGTTTTTTGTGGGCAAATCTGTTAGCTCTCGGGTTGCATTTGTGCTCGATTTTTGCCTTTCTTTAGTTGTTAACATACTTAGCCATTCTCTGCCTCCATATCTATACATCAACCATCGCAGTTTCTCGATTATGGCGATTGACTTTGATCAATCCCCCTTTGAGAGTGTTCTCGCTCTCATAACCCAAGCTGATGCAGCAAACAAGGATTCTGACGCTATCCAAGAGATTGGGTCCTCGACTTTAAGAATTAGTAGGGTTGAGAATTATCATAACTATCTGGAATAAGGCTATCTTCAAGAGCCAAGGGCTTAATATTTGATCCTTGACTCTATGCATTTGCTAGTTGCTTCTGATGATTAGACTATTTATTCCTTTTCCCCTGATGAGGCTTGTTTCTACGAGTCTATTCTTGAAGCTAGACTTCATTTTTCAATCCCTAAATATATTATGGGGTCTTTTGCCTTCTAAGCCTCGCTCCTGCCTAGCTGACTCCTAATAGTTGGGGTTTTTTGATTGGTAAGAGCATCATCTAGGCTAAGGCAAATGGTGCCGGTGTGCAACCAACTTTTGCTGAGCTCATGTAATGCTACAAGCTCACCCCTTGCTTTGGGTAAGGCTTGGGGTGGTTCTACTTCTCGAAAAGAGAAGGTCCAACCCTACTGACTGGCTATTCCTCAAATGCGAAGGAATGGAAATAAAAGTTTTTCTTTGTTTCTGACTCTGGTTGGGAATTTGAACCCTTTGAGGTTCCTTTTGGCAGTTCCTTTTGATTTTCCCACATTTGGGGGATTCCTACCCCTTTTCCAAGTAAGTGCACTTCCTTTCGGCAATTTCATATATTGGCTTTGGGTTTTCACCTTTATTCTTTTTGAAACACAGGTAAATCAAATCCCCTATCCTTTGAGTTGATGAAATGGATTAAATAGGCATTTGACTATCCCACAAAGGACCTATCTGAGATTATGAGTCACGAGTTTTTCTGAAAACCTATAGAATAATGTTGCAATTAGTGTGTGTTATTCTTACAGTGATAAGGAGAGGGAATATTTTGCCAAAAGAATAGAATGGTGATTTAATTTTATATGTGAGCATATGAATTATTTTATCTTAAAGGTTGAATTTTGTAGGTATTTTCGTTGAAAAACCTTCACGAGACAAAATTCGTCCACTAGGAATCACTTAGGGGTTTAACGGATTATTGCATAAGCTAAATACAATTGTGAAATCTACGAAAGTGATTTTGTTTTAACACTAGGGACTAGTAATGCTTGGTGGGGGGGGGGGGGTGATTAATCATAAAAAGTGCAGTAATGAATTAGGATTTAGTTTAAGAATGTGCCTAAATTAAGTTAAAGTAATGAATTTATAAAGTATTAGGGTTAATGTCTAATTTATCTATTTTTGTAGGGTTTCAAGGATATTTAAGGAAGTTCGGAGGGATAAAAGTGTAGAGGCTAAACAACAAAAGGGAGAGGCAAATGTAATTCAAAAGTCAAAAGTCAACAAAGGTGGGTTTGCAAAGCAAAAATCCATAGAATCACTATCGTCCGGACGGTGGTGGTGGCATCCGAACAGTGCCCTTAGTTGAATTTCTCCTCCTCCTTCTCCCATTGGTCTTGTGATGCAACGAAGAGCCTATTTGGATGCCTAGGGAGGCTGCCGCCTTAAACCCCCCCTTATGGTGCGTATAACTACCCCTATTCAATTGGAATTCAAGAGAGAGGAAAAAAAGAAGAAAAAAAAAGGAAGGAAGGGAAGACTTCAGAGAAAATTCGGAGAGACTTCAGAGAGAAAGAAACTCTGCCCTTAATACTATCCAGCCAGAACTTCTTTACTTCTACATTTTTGCTTCATCCTTTCTACTTGTAGGGTTGAATCTCTCTCACTTTTGTGCCCTAGTTGGTAACAAGAGTGGGAGTGTTTCAACTATATCTCAGGAAAGGACTTGTTGTATTTTGTTTTCTATTGTAATGGGATTATCTCATTCTTCTAGCTCGTCTATAGTAATGAAGTGTGAGTAGTCCATTTATACTCTTTGGTGAAGGGTGAAAATATGTGTATTGTTGTTTGTGGTATGGAAATGCCGACATTTCACTTATGCAATAATGTTTATACCTCCCTTAATTGATGGATGGTTATTACTACTATATGCTCATGGTTATGAACACCAAGCAAAGCTTATTGCTATATACCATTCTATCTGAAAGTTATTACGTAATTCAAGCATGAGTCAATGAAGCATGTAGTTGGGTTTTATGTAACAATCAGGAGATTGGTTATAGACAGGTTAAATCTCGCCATAACTAATGCTTTTGATTGAATGCATAAACTGGAACTCCATCTTCATTAAATCATTGACCTGTNAAGTTAAATCTCGTCATAACTATTGCTTTTGATTGAATGCATAAACTGGAACTCCATCTTCATTAAATCATTGACCTGTTGATCAAATAGCTAAAGTGAACCTTTTGAATGGTTCACCTTCGAGTTTACTAAGGTTATTTTGTTGTTATATGGTACATAAACCTTTTGGCTAACCTAATCAGTTACTGTGATATGATTTAGTTACACGTCAAACCTACCAGTTAACTTTCTAGTAATGTGGAAGTTAATTGTTGTAAAGTGGTATTTTCATAATCAAGCAATATAATGTTTGTTGGATCCTCAAACTAAAGAGTAGTTTTTTTAGTTACGGTTATCAAGAGTTTAAGTTAAGAATTTGTTGCATAATTCTAAGTTCACACCACAAGTTATTATGAAGCACACTATACACAAGACAATCTTACCTTTTCCATTTTGAATTCTAATAGTTAGCTCCTTGTGGATTCACCCTTAGACTTAATCGAGTAATACTTCAATTTGACAACTTATACTTAGGTGTATGATTTAAATCAGGTCAATTGAGTCACCTCCAACTCAAATTTTATTCCTTTAAAATGGGCCCACCTAGTTGAGCTACTGATGAGTGTGGAACATTGCATAATAAGCATCCTCATTACATCCAATTTAACTTGTTTTGCAGTGAATTTTTGGGAAAATGTATTTAAATTGATAATTAATGGAGATTGGTTTGATTGTAGGTTTTGTCTGAAAAGGGCAGGCATAAAGCACCCCATCGAGTGATTAAGGTCAATGGGGAAGGAATGATCTCATGATAGATGGCTTGGGAGCTCAAGGAACCAAGAGTTTCAAGACAAGGACAAGACCTACCGGTAGGAGCCTTATGACCTACCGGTAGAAGACCCTACTGGAAACCAGTTTTCAGTGCTTCCCTACAAGATCTGCCGGTAGGAGCCTTATGACCTACCAGTAGAAGACCCTACTGGAAACCAGTTTTTAGTGCTTCCCTACAAGATCTGCCGGTAGGAGCCTTAAGACCTACGGGTAGAAGACCCTAATGGAAACCAACTTTTAGTACTTCCTATCATGACTTACCAATAGAAGCCTTACGAGCTACCAGTAGGTGATGCCCAAAAATCCCATATCCTTCTCCAAATGACTCCACCAACTACGAGAGTCCACCTTTTGTCACCTAATCCATGATCTAACATTTCTAACACTCCATGATGATCTCCTATACCCTATAATCAGTTTTTAAGCATGAGGAACTAGGTAGCCAAGTGAGAGAGAGAGAGAATGGTTGGAAAAGCATGGGAGGACCACCCTTTGACTGATTTTGGAAGCTTTTGTGGACAATCTCTCTCCAATCACTTCAAGTCAGTTACTCATGCTAAGGGAGAGGGGATGGATGAAAATAAGGTGGCTACACACATTTTCAGCTTATCATACTTTTAGATAGAGAAGGTCCAAGGCAGAAGATGAAGTTCTAGAGAGAGAAAGCTGGGTTTTACATTTTCCTTCACCATTTTCATTGTAGTA